CTGCCATCCGCGACAAGCATCCCGATGTTCCAATCCATGTCCACACTCATGACACTTCGGGTGCCGGTGTTGCGTGTATGATCGCCTGCGCTCAGGTCGGAGCTGATGTTGTGGATGTGGCCGTCGACTCGATGTCTGGAATGACATCACAGCCAAGTATGGGAGCAGTTGTCGCCTCTCTGCAGGGCACTCCCTTGGACACACAGCTGAACCTAGGAGATGTTTCTCAATATTCTGCGTACTGGGAGCAAACTCGTAATCTCTACGGACCATTTGAATGCACCACGACAATGAGATCAGGAAATGCCGATGTCTATCTGAACGAAATACCCGGGGGTCAATATACCAATCTGCAGTTCCAGGCGTTCTCCCTAGGTCTAGGTGATTTGTTTGAGGAAGTGAAGAAAGCGTACAGAGAAGCCAATATTATTCTGGGAGACATAATTAAGGTCACTCCATCGTCAAAGGTTGTGGGTGACTTGGCTCAGTTCATGGTTCAGAATAAGCTCAGTCGTGCTCAAGTTTTGGAAAAGGCCAAGGAGTTGTCGTTTCCCAAATCGGTAACTGAGTACCTACAGGGATATATGGGTATTCCGCATGGCGGCTTTCCAGAGCCATTTCGATCCGATGTTCTTAAGGATATGCCTCGAATTGATGAGAGACCTGGTAGTAAGCTTGAACCATTAGATTTCGACAAGCTAAAAGCGGAACTACTTAAAAGTCATGCAAAAATTTCTGACAGAGATCTTATGTCAGCGGCGCTTTATCCGGAAGTGACCAAAGAGTTCCTGCAAAACCGTCTAAAATTTGGCTGTATCGATAAGCTTGACACGCGAATCTTCATCGTGGGCCCCGAAATGGGTGAAGAGCTCGAAGTTAGCCTAGAGCGTGGCAAGGTATTGTTCATAAAGCCATTGGCCATAGCCAACGACCTCAGAGCGAATGGCACACGCGAGGTGTTCTTTGAAATGAACGGGGAAATGCGTTCAGTCCACATTCCCGACAAGGAGGCTCTAAAGGTGAAGGCAAATGGATGTCTCTTTAAATATTTTTTCAATTAATATGAACTTATCGTATTTTAAGGTTATCCGAGTGCATCCGAAGGCCAGGTCAGATGTAAAAGGTGAAGTTGGCGCCCCAATGCCAGGTGATGTTATTGATATACGTGTCAAGGAAGGCGACAAGGTCGAGAAGGGTCAGCCCATTGTCGTGCTATCAGCTATGAAAATGGAAATGATCGTTCGATCTCCAGACTCAGGTACTGTTAAGAAAATAGAAGTGAAGAAAGGAATGAAATTGGCAGGGGACGATCTACTGCTGGTCCTGGAATGATTGAATCTATATTATAATCAGCTTTGCATTAAATACGTCTAGGTTTTCCAAGGATTCTACAGCAGTTACAGATATGTATATCTGTAATTAGTTTTCATCATTAAACCGTATTAGATATAGAAATGAATTACAACTGAAAGTGAAGTGCAACAGCATTTTATAAACAGAAAAGATAATTATGTTGTTCTACATGCACTTAACGATGAATTCCATAAAAGCCAAATCCTTCTTCAGCTCGGAAACTCGCTTGAAATGCCGTTGCACATAAGGGGTCAGCGTTTCGACCAGATTTCCTTTGTTGTAGAACTTTTGCGTGGAGTTCACCAGAGCGTCGCCCAGCAAATGTTGCAGAATCAGGTTGGCAATGTAGGAGTGGCGTGAGTTGGTGCTCCATGCCTTCACGTGCTGCAGCAAGACCAGTCTCTGGTCCAAATTTAGTTGATCCACCAGTTGACGAACAGCGACTGCGTCACGTTTGCGCACAAAGCTGCTGATGATGTCGTTGGTGGCCTTTGGCTTGTCCAGTACCAGGGCCAGCTTGAATGCCTTTTCAAGCTGCTCTTGTGCGTGTAGAAGGCACTGAAGGGTTTGCTCTTGCTCCAGCATGGCTTGTCGCTGATCCAGGGCTTCGCTGCGCACTGTTTCCGTAACATCCGTAAAACGAATCAGCTTGGAGTCAGCACCTCCTGTATAGAAGTAGCGATTGCTGCAGCTAGAGACCGCCACGGACCAGACGCGATCACTGTGCTCGTCGATGGACTGGACACAGATGTTGGTCTTGATGTTCCACAGCTTGAGCAGGCCATCCGAGGCGGCAGAGAGTATAAATTTGCCATGATCCAGAAACTCTACACGCAATATCGTGCACTCCTGCTCCAGGCGCTTGAGGCAACTGAAATTGGCAATAGACCAAAGGCGCAGGCTGCAGTCGGACGATGAGGTGACCACAACTTGATCCACAGGTGAGAAGCGCACGCACCACACACCACGAGTGTGACCACGCAGCACGCCAAGCAGGTTATTGGAGTCCGCCGACCAGAGCTTTGCCGTCTTGTCCTGTGATGCTGTAGCCAGGATTTTGTTGTTGAGCGCATATGTAACGCAGTTGACTTCCTTGTCGTGGGCCAGCGCTGCATAGAGCAGCGAGAAGGTATACTTGTTGCGATCTTGTTTGTCTCGCGACAATTGCCACACTTTCATGCTGCCATCTTGGCACGCAGAGGCAAAACCCTTGGCTCCATTATGTGTTATGGCTACGGAGCCAATGGTCGCCGTATGGCAATTGGTTTGCTGTGTCAGCGGCTGCAAGAAGCAATCAATCTCGTGCGACAGCTTCCACAGGTGTATGCTGCAGTCCTTGCCCACGGAGATCAGCAGATTATGGGATGCAGCCAACGACATGACCGTATCCGAGTGTCCACAAATCAAACGGCAATTCATATTCTGCTCGGTGTCGTAGAGCTTAAAGTGCTTGCTATTGGTTGCCACGGCCAGGTACCGATCCTTGTCACCCAGAAAGCACATGTCCAAAATCTCATCATTGTAGCCAATCAGCTGCTTTACCAATTTCAGCTCAGCTCTCTCGTTCTCGGTGCTCACATTGTATACGATGATATTTTGCTCTGTTGTAATCAGCGTCAGTTGCTGCCTGGTGCTGCAGTAGAGCAGGCGACTTATTTCGAAATCCGTCTCCACCAACAGATCGCGTATTTTCCATGATTTTGTGTCGATTTGCTGAACCTTGCCCGAGCGGCAGGCGACCAACACTTGCGCGCCTTCCGCAATATGCGCGACACCCTCGAGCTCGATGTACAGCGGAATAACCTTTGATTGGCTCCAGGTGCTGTTCGAGTCTGCATTCAATTGCCAAGCAATCAGCACCTTGTCGCGACTCACAGAGACCAACTGATCGCATTCAGCAGCTATGCTCTTGAAGCTGAGGCCCGTCACCTGAGAGATATGTCCACGCAATTTGTGCAGCAGTGTCTTTGTGCCGTAATCCCAACAGTATATTGTATTGTCAGCACCGGCAGCGTAAATTTCACTCTTCAATGGACTCGGGTGGAAGCGCAACAGCAGCGCCGGGCCGGGAAAATCTTTTAAGGCGCACAGACAGCTGTTGTTGGCGAAATCCCATACGCGTATCGTGGCATCTGCTCCACCACTGGTACAGATAAAATTGCCAGACGCGCTAAACTCGATGCGCACAACGGGTCCCTTGTGCTGGCTCTTCCAAAGTTTTACCAACTTTCTCGTACTCAGCTCCCAGAGGCGTAGCAAGCCGCTGCCATGTGCAACCGCCAAATGTTCACCTGACATTGCAAAGCAATTGATGTTGTCCTCGTCCATCTTAGCATCGTCGAGTCCATCAGAGGCTTTGGATTTCTCGCTACCATCGGATACATTTACTCCAAAGCTGCACACAATTTGCGATGTTTCCACATTCACTTGATTTATAACATCGCCATTCAAACAATAAATATGCTCTCCATTTTCAGCCCAGGCAATATCGTGCCCGGCATAAAAGTTTGTATAGCGAGCATCTGCTGCATATCTACAAAAAATATATTGAATAAAAATTGTCCATTTAATTGCTAATATTTACTTACTGTTTATCACTCACGGTAGCCAGCATGCTTTTATTTTTGTTTACAAAATTGAAATTACTACCGCGTGCACATTGGAACTGGTACGAATATTCCAAACGAACTGGCTCGTGTAATCCGTTATCAGAGTGAACAAACTTTTTCAACACGAAAAATCTGTCCAGTAGTGTGTTCTCTGGTCAGTAATAGTACATATATTAACATTGTATATGTACTCTACATATGGTTATCAAAATCGACAAAGGACTTAAAGCTAGAATTGTGTTTTGATAAATAAATAATAATAATTCAGTTGCTGGTTCATTTTTACAAATTAGGCATTAATCAACACTTTTGCAAAAATTACAAAGGCTGGTCACACCGAGCATGAGTTGCAGCTGTCAAATAAAAGCCGTCAAATCATCGTCTTCTGTTTGCGAGTCTAATTCACGTAGATTCGGTTTCGCTAATACCAATCCTAATTCATATTCACAACAAAAATGAGTACAATTGGCACCGGTGTAAGTATATTAGTATACCGTTTACAACAGATGCATAAATATATTATTATTTTGGTTTGCAGTATGATCTGTCGGCTTCGCAGTTCTCTCCTGATGGCCGCGTCTTTCAGATTGACTACGCCTCCAAAGCAGTTGAGAGGAGCGGAACAGTTATTGGCATTAGAGGAAAGGATTGTGTTGTGCTTGCCGTCGAAAAAATTGTCGCAGATCAGCTTTACGAACCTGATGCAGCCAGTCGCATTTTTACTATTGAAAGGAACATCGGCATGGCCATTGCTGGGCTGATGGCTGATGGAAATTTTGTGGCCGACATTGCCCGACAGGAAGCAGCGAATTTCCGTCAACAATTTGAACGCACCATTCCCTTGAAACATTTATGCGAGCGCGTGTCCGGCTACCTGCACGCCTACACTCTGTACAGCGCTGTGCGTCCGTTTGGATTATCTGTAATACTCGCATCGTGGGATGAGGTTGATGGACCTCAATTGTACAAAATTGAGCCGTCTGGTAATTCGTTTGGCTATTATGCCTGCGCCAGTGGCAAGGCCAAGCAACAGGCCAAAACAGAGATGGAAAAGTTCAAGTTCACCGACATGAGTACCGAAGAATTGGTCAAAAGTGGCGGCAAAATGTATGTTAAGTCTGTTAACGCTTAACCATTCAGATAACTTATTCATGTATTTACTTGCAGCATTTATCAAGTGCACGACGAACTGAAGGACAAAGATTTCCGCTTTGAAATGGGCATCGTTGGCAAGGAAACGGATGGTATACATCTCATTAATAGCGCTGAATGGATCCAAAAGGCCATTGAAGCTGGGGAGGCAGCCAAAAACGCAGATGATAGTGAAAATGAGATATAATTTAAATTCGAAATATGTTCAACTGATTATAAATCGGCTAGGCATTATTTTTAAATGTTTTCTACAACAGAAAATACACAAAAATGCACAGTTCGTGGGTAATTTGCAACCTGTGGACTCTTCAAATTCAACACAAAAATAAAAATAATACAAAAACAAGAAATGAGAATACAAATGCATATCTGTCGAAAGCCATAAATGTTTAGTGGAATTTTAGGACTAAAAAAGCATGAGCTCAGAAACTTTCAAATTGCAATAAACAGATCAGCTGCAGTAGCAAATTTAACTCATCGCTTCGGTAAATTTAACTTTTACCGGCGATAGTAATCGCTGGCCCACCAACTATCGATAGTTTTCCCTGTGGAATTATTGAATTAATAATATTATAAATACAAAGTATAATAAGTATGGATAAAAACAGTTTATTTTTATATCTGTATACAACATGAAATATTCTATTTGTGTATTTATTTAGACATATATTCTCATTTTATAACCTATCCTTTTTGTTCTGAAGTCTGGCACCTCTAAGGTCGCGCACATCTGACTGATTCGCGCCAAAAACGGAAAACAATTGAATAAAAATAAACAATTTCTTTTCTAAAATGACTACATTGGTTGAACAGCTAATTTCGAAAATGGGACTTGGCGAAGAGCCCAATGTATTAGAGTGAGTTCTAGCAATAATATAGCACCTTAATATATATTTAATGAATTTCAACCATCGCTAGGAAAACAACAGAGCTCCTCAGATTGCTAGAGCTTCGATCGACAAATGTTCCCCTGCAAATAAATGAATATGGAAAAATAGTGTTGTGCGCGGATATTGCTTGCAGTGTGTTAGATATTGGCTTCGACAAAGAGCAGGCGCTTAAACTTTCCGCATTGCGTAAAACTCACTATACCAACAACAAGCGTATGTTTGAGAAATTGCTTGAATTGAATAAATTGGCTAGCATCAAAGATATTTGTGTGCAGCTCAGCTTGAACGAGGTCGCACATAAGGCTGAAGATATCCTAGCTGTGTTCAAAAAGTTCGCACGTGACGATGCTGATCCAGAACATCCACAATATGCCGCAATGGCCATATTCCACGCCTGTCGCCTGCTTAAAAAGAAAGTATCCAAGCCCAAATTAATGCCATTTAGCAACTTGCGACCCACACAATGGCAGCAGCTTGAGCAACAATTTGAGCGCATGATCGCAAAGCACTTACAGGATTCCAATGTGATGACGGCGAGTGTAAAAAACAAACTCACACAGCAGGAGGAGCAGAATGTGCTGAGCAAGAAGCAGAAGAGTGGCGAAAAGACTGAAATCGAAGAATATGAAAAATGGAAGAGTCGAATGCTAGCAACAGCTAAGGCTAAACTCAAAGAACTGGAAACCATCGCTTAACAATAATAAGAGAGAATCATTTTTATTTATTAAAAAAGTAGTTAAACCCATGTATTCGTGATTCATGCAGTCCTAGCTAAGCTAAGTTATTCAAGTCCATGTTTCTTTTTCTCTTTCTCAATGTGAGTCAGAACGTGAGAGATTAGCACATCGCCTACATCTTGTAGTTCTCCGTTCTGTTTGTGAGCTGGAAGTAATTATATTGTATTAATTGCATTATATATTTATAAAACGTGCATTCGCATACAATTATATATAATAAGTTGAACTTCACGTCGTGTTTCCGGCCAGTTGTTAAGGAGCTCTTGCAGATGCTTACAAAACTTCAACCAGATCTCGCGTTTCATTTCCTGCATTTGCCAAGTGGCCGACAATTGGAAGTGCATTGATTCGAAAAATGTTAGCATTGGCGTGGCGCCCTCCATTGCAAAGTAGTATGTGGTTCCATTGATTTTCTTATTAAGCCTATAGACCGCATGTTTGAAGGGACGATTTACACCGGCCCTATTTATAAACTGTGTCTCCAGGGGCTGAAAGCGAGAACCTTCGAATTACACAGGCATCTAAACATAAAATTTATAGTATATTTACCTCAGCCTTATCAAGCCATTCGCTTTGTATAACGCGATTTACAAACATCTCATCTGGAATTAGTATAATTAGGCGCTTTATCCCGAATTTCACATTCTGCATGTCCTCATATTGTTGCATTCGCTTTTGCAGGCCGTCATTCTCTCGTTCCGGTAGCGAGAGTTTCAGATAACCATGAAAATAGCTCGAGGCCATTCCAGCTGCATAATCCAAGCCATGCGAATCGCGTATCCAATGGGCATAGCTCAATGAACTATGGCTCAGTTGTACGTAGGTGAAAATCCAATAAAGAGGAATAAGAAGAAGCGGTTCGCCTCTGGGCAGCAAAAGAGCTAAGTTATTAGTTCTTCCAAAGCGCGTCACTCCCGTGAGTATCACTAATAATGCTAGATATACTGTTTTGTTATTGTACGTGTACGCACGCTTTATAATTGTTGTTAGACGATCCTCTGGTAAATAATAAATACGGTGCAACAGGTATTCCTTAAATACGTAGAACAATCTCTGCAGGCAGTCAGCAACGAATATCACAATACATATTCTAACGGCGTAGTCTGCGTCGTAAAATATGATACTATATGTATGGATATCAGTTATTTTCCCATATTCTCACCAACACTTGACCACACCATCTTTAGCCACGCAATCTTCTTATCACTCCTTTGATCCTCAGGTGGAACTGCCATAACCGGGCTACTGTATCAGCGATGCCAGACACTTGATACTTATGTTGCAGGTATTCCCTTAAAGATTCTAATCTGTTAATTCGTTAAATAAATCTAAGACTAAAGCACAGAAAGCTCAGAAAATTATAGTGAAAAACACGATTATAAACTTATTATCTTGAAATTTATTTTTAACTAAATTCGCAATATTATCGACTATCGTATGCAGACGGAACCATAATCGATACCTTCAAACTAACCAGCCATCGGTATAATTCGACCAAACTCACATCCATAATTTAAGTGCAAGTGCATTTATAAAAATACAAAGACGGCTTTTGTCTAGAAGTTGTTCGACTAAACCAATTAAAATTGGTATAAATTTAATTCGGTATTCCTCAAATGATTTGGCTAAATATGATTTAACTATTTGTATGCTCCTTAACGCGCATACATATGACGCATATTACCATTTAGATATTGGATAAACAATACACTGTAATCTTACATGTTTACGTTGGCTCTGTGTAAGTTACCAGCAAAAATGAAAAAAAAGAAAAAGAAGCTTGAAAAAGAATGGAAATGTGAAAAGTTTAAGGAATGAAGAAAACTGTTTACTATTAATTATTATCAATTCTTTGCTTTAACAGGAGAACATCAACAACAACAACAGCGAGGCACAATTGTTTGTTGTAGTGCTGATAAAATTCAGTAAGCGAGAAGAATAAAGACGCGTTAGTCACCACGCCTTTTGCGGTCGCGTAAATAACTAGGGCTCGAGGCTGGCAATACTCATATAATGCCGATATTATATAGTGTTATAGCTCGTGGCACTACGGTGCTGGCAAAGTTCGCCGAATGTGTAGGAAATTTTGCAGAAGTAACCGAACAAATTTTGGGAAGAATAGGTGTGCATAATCATAAAATGACCTATACACACGGCGATTATTTGATACATTACACTTGCGAAAATAAGATAATTTATATGTGCATAACTGACAATGTAAGTTGAATATTAATTAGGTGAATTGTTTAGAAAAATAACTTTAATTTTTATACAGGAATTTGAACGCTCTCGCGCTTTTCTTTTCTTGGCGGACATCAAGCAGAAATTTATTCATACGTATGGCCTACAGGTTGCCACTGCCATTGCCTATGCCATGAATACGGAATTTTCAAAAGTGTTATCCCAGCAAATGGTCTACTTTAGTCAATCGCGAGAAGTCGATACCATATCGCGAGTTCATGGTCAAATTGATGAACTTAAAGATATTATGATTAAGAATATAGGTAACCAATTAAAGTATATTAGACTTCTCAGTTATTTTAACAATTCTTATATTCCCAGATAGTCTGCGCGATCGCGGCGAGAAACTGGAGCTGTTGGTTAATAAAACAGAGAACTTGAGCAATAACGTAAGTAGCAGATCAAGTAAAATTTATAAAAATAAATAATTGTAATTATAATCCCATAGTCAGTTGCATTCCGCAAGGCTTCACGTAACTTGGCGCGTCAAATGTTTTGGAAGAAAATTCGGATCTATGTTGTCGTCGGCCTAGTAATCATATTTGTTATCTATGTAATTGTAAGCATGGCATGCGGCGGCCTCGCTTGGCAGTCGTGCATTCAATAATAATTTGCCAATGCATAAGGTAGTTGTTGCAGCAATGTTTATTATTATTACTATCATATACAAAGTTTCGTACTATCAATAATCTCTGTTATATGGAATAAAGATGTATGTATATAAAGTGAATATCCTCAGTTTCCAGGACCAGTTTCACTTCTCTTCTACGTAAATAACATCATTAACCTTAACGTTTCCTGCTTGCCGTAGACCCAAATGTATGCCCAGCGCTGGAGACGCATAGTTAAACAGTCGATAGCTGTAAATAATAAGTAATTAAGTATAGTACCATATTTAATCTTCCTTGTGGGAGCTCAACCTACCTGCGCAGTGTTTTTAGCGGCTCACCATCGGCATTCCGCTCAGCCGTTTGAACATTAATAT